AAATTGGCCAAAACACTAGCTAATCACGGGGTTTTCTCTCCAAAAATCACACATCAATCAATTAACACTCAATCATATAAATTCCACTTGAATCAAGCTAAATCATGGTCTAATTACTATCAATTTCTCCCCTATTTTTCTGTCAAATTCGGACAACACAGCCAGCAAACTAAATGGCTAATTTAAGCCTTAAAAGGGCGATCACATACCATAATTTAGCAAGCAAAACCGAGCTGCAGTTTGGGAGAGAAGCCGACGGCAAGTGCAGGGAAGAATCACGCAATCTACCCAAAAATGGGAGGAACAAGAGCAATTAAAGTAAACCCAAGGAAATTCAAAGCTAGAGAAGGAGAATTCGAGCTATTTCTTACCAAAAGACCGAACAAATCACACCCACAAAGCAGGAGCAGCCGGACGGTGAGGAGCAAAGCAAGGCAGATCCGGATTCTGCAGAGGGGTGGGGGAAATTTATGGGTTTTACATGTGTTCTAGAACAAGAAAGGAAGGGGAAAATACCAAGCTTCCTTACCAATTTTCCAAGGCATGGCTGGGTTTCCCTTTTTTTTTTCTTCGGGTGGCTGCAGCGGGAAGAAGAAGAGCAGAATCGGGAATGGCTGGGAAGGAAAGAAAGAAAGAAAAAGAAAAAGAAAAGAAGTCATCCTTATCCAAAATCTTTTCCTCTTTAAGTCCCTCAACTTTTGAAATATTCACATTAAGCCCCAAAACAATCTTTTCTCACAATCAAGTCTCTAACTTACACTTAAATATTTCCAAAAATTTGGGATATTACACCATTGTTGGTCTAGAAATCTTATTCAGACCAACAATGGTCCGAATATGAATTTTTTTATTTTTCGTTAATGTTTTATATTTATTTATGAGTTTTATTCTTCATTTATTATTTCAATTATTGTGCTATTTGTTAGTTTATATCACTATCATGATGTTTATTCTATTTTGCATGTTTTTTATCGTCATAATTATATTTATTTTATTTAACATATTAATATTAATTTATTGAATACTATAATTATATTATGTGTATTGTGCTTTTTTTATAATTTGGTTTGTGTTTTCTACTTTACAATTATATAATTATATTTATTTTATTTGAAATGTTAATTTTAATTTATTAAAAACTGTAATTACATACTAATTAAATGATATAATGATTTTACTTTATCTGGACCATTGTTGGTTTGGAAAACCTATTTGAATCAACAGTGGTACAAATATGAATTCTTTTTTTTTCCTTTTAATGTTTTATATTTATTTATGAGTTTTATTCTTTATTTATTATTTCAATTATTATGTTATTTGTTAGTTTATGTTACTATCATTATGTTTATTCTATTTTGCATGTTTTGTATTGTCATAGTTATATTTATTTTATTTAATAAATTAATCTTAATTTATTAAATACTATAATTATATTATGTGCATTGTGCTTTTTTTTATATATAATTTAGTTGATATTTTTTACTTTATAATTATATAATTACATTTATTTTATTTGAAATGTTAATTTTGATCTATTAAAAACTTTAATTACATACTAATTAAATGATATAACTATTCTACTTGTATTGCTTTTTTTCTTTTCAAATTATATTCATATCAATGTTAGTCTGGACTACTTATTTAGACCAACAATGGTTCAAATATGGATTCCTTTTTTTTTCCTTTTAATGTTTTATATTTATTGATGAGCTTTATTCTTTATTTATTATTTCAATTATAATGCTATTTATTAGTTTATCTCACTATCATTATGTTTATTCTATTTTTCATGTTTTTTTATTATCATAATAATATTTATTTAATCTAAATATTAATCTTAATTTATTGAATACTATAATTATATTATGTGCATTGTGCGTTTTTTTTTTATAATTTGGTTGATATTTTCTACTTTATAATTATATAATTATATTTATTTTATTTGAAATGTTAATTTGGATCTATTAAAAACTTTAATTACATATTAATTAAATGATATAATTATTTTACTTGTATTTTTTTTAATTATATTCAGACCACTTTGGTCTGGAAAACTTATTCGAACCGCAAGTGGTCTAAATAAAATGTAAAGAATCTAGTCTCACAATTTTTTATTATTCTTTCATTTAACGACAATACCACAATCCAAATCCCCAATTTCCACTACTAAAATTCTTACTTGCAGCAACATCGTAGCATGTTGGTGAAAGTGCTTCCCATGTTATTGAAAGTACTTCAACAACAAGAGCCACATTGTTGATGTCTTTGTTGGAGAAGCCGTGGTGGGTAATACATTAGCAACAAGCTTCACATTGTTGATTCTTCGACAACATACCCTGTGTTGCTAAAGATGGAGTTTCACCAATGCAACTCATGTTGCTAAAAAAGTCACCGAAGTCGATCATCAAAATTTTTCACCCTTTTCAGCAACAAATTTCTTGTTGCTAAAAGAATGGTTTCATCAACATGAGTTATGTTGCTAAAAATACTACCGAATTCAACCACTGGAATTGTGACTCTCTTTTTAGCAACGTACCTCTTGTTGCTGATACTTTATTTTCAGCAACATGAGTCTTGTTGCTAATAATCTCATGAATAGTAGTAAGCCACCCCACTTTTAGCAACAAATCCCTTGTTGCTGATAATCTCATGAATAGTAACCACCCCACTTTTAGCAACAAATTGCTTGTTGCTGATAATCTCATGAACTTTCAGTAACATAGCCTTTGTTGTTGATTACTTTTTTGAATTCAACCCATACCATTTTCAACAACATATCTCTTGTTGATGATGATTAAGAATGCTTGAAAAAAAATTATAAACTCACTTCAATTTCATTTATATGATAAAAATTAAATTACATTAATTTTATACTATCATTATTAAATTAAACATTAATACAATATTTAAATATAAAATTCACTTTTGTTTAATAATCACCAAATCTTAAATTCCTTGATATCTCATGTAAAATATAATTAATTATAACTAAATAATTAATATTTATTAATTAGATATCATTTATAAATTTTTAGCTTAATTCATTTAAAGTAAATAACTCAAGCCAGTTAATATGTCATTAGGTATCTTACCAAACTTTGAATTTTTTACTTTATAGAGAATTATCTACAAAACAAACAAAATATCAAATTAATTAATTACTATATATAAGTATTAATAAATATATTAACTTCTAAATAAATTGAAAGCTACTTAATCACATAATATTTATAAAAATATTTCATACAATAAAATCAAAATATATGCTTCAAGAGAATGAAGTAATTGATGGAAATTTATTCAATTATTAATATATGTATGAGAATTTCATGATAAAAGAAAATAAGTAAAATATACATATTAGAGAATGGATAAAAAAGGGTGAGTTATGGAGGAGAGGCAAAGAGGATGTAGGAGAATGGAAGCAAAATTAAAAGAATAATCTGCAGAGATGGCTCATCATGCTGTTGGGGTGTGGTATATAT